GTTGCACACATAACATTTTCATCATCCAAAAAATACGCCTAAATTAATTTTCTATTGTTGTCTGTCAAACCAATCTATTGTCAAATACACTTCTGGGCTCTTCATTGTCCCAGACTTTTCAGACAAAAAATACTATCATTATATTTTCTCTGTGTACAAACAGTTATTGTTTCGTGATGTGGTGATATACGGTGTTGTATATAGGACCACACAAGGGTAAAGGTGCACTGTGGAACTTTTCACCTTCTTGTTTCTGTAGATATGTCATTGCTTTGCTTCGAATGTTCCGCAGTGTGACATTAAACAGCTCTACTTTACTTTTATTCAATTACAGGTGGTTTTAAAGCTCAAAAACACCTAGAAAAACAATATCCTGACTGTGAGCGGCGTCGCCTCTCCACAGATCTGACCTGTAACTTGGTCCGGTTTGGTCTCCATGACGATAGAAAGGTTTAATGCCACACTGTGAAACATTCGTCAACGTCAAACACAACAGTTTTGGAGTTGGGCGTTTGATGGATCCTCCACCAGAAAAGTTACACAATGGACCTTCAAAGTTCATATGGCGGTTTTGATGATTGTCTAATTTTAACTTTATTTGGTGAGGTAATACCTGCTGTAAAAGTAAATTATTGTTTTACACCAATCAAGAAGCAATTTGAGAAGAAAAATGGAAAATGATGTTGAAAATTACAGGAAGTACAGAGTTCTATTTTAGAGAGCTGACGTCACACTTTTTCTAAAATCTGTCCAAAGGTTTGACTCAATTTACACAAAAGAAACGTTTTTTCTAACATTTTAAACATTACTTCTTACATTTTTATCTGTCAAATAAAAAATTCTGTGTATTAGAGGAGTTTTGGTCTAGTGTACTATGTAGCTGCTTGGTAACTAGAAAGATATCACGATTTACAATGAAGAAGGAAACCTAAAAAAAAAGGTCAAAACGGATGAATTTAAAATGGCCAAGTTTACATGATGTTTTTTATTCTGAATTAGTTGTTCTGAATTAAATAGTTCAGTATTTAAAATATCCTTCTTTTAGTTTACAAGAAAATAATAATTCCAAATTGAGATTTACATTGAAAATATGTTTAACCGCCTTTATTTAATTCTGCTCATAGTCTGGGGGTTGGGAAGGGTTCTGATTGGACAGGGACACCAACGTATTTACGTCGACCGGAAGAAAACACACACTTCAGCTGCTACCGGCTTTTTTGTCGTCTCAGTTTGTCGTTACGCCACAGACATAAACATGATCCAAATGTTTTTCTGCGTTCCGGTGATAATTAAGAAGCAGCTGGAGAATTCTGTCATCACGCTTTACGTCTGTCGGCTGAGGAGGAGAAGGGAAGAGTATCGGAGAAGGGAGGAAGAAGACAAACTGAGTCAACGGCTGCTCTACCTCAGCCCACGCCCGCATCCCGCTCACAAATCCAAAGAGACGTGGATGAAAGTTCGAAGCGAGGACTGGTGGAGCCGGATCGTCCGGGTCGTGTCAGGAGGGCGACCCAACGAGCGTGCACTGAATGAGCTGAATTATTTTTAAGAAGAATAAACGTTTACTAGCCAGGCTGGTGCCACCTTGTGCCTCCGCTCAATTTTATTTCTCTCCAGCGATTTGATCAGGAATCAGAATACACTAGATGGTTTGCAAGAACCCCGGAAGTTGTAGACCGCGCACCGGCCAATCAGCGAAGAGCTGTGAAGCCATGACATCAAACTCAAGCGCCTGTCTAGGTCCATTTTGTGGAACAGCACAACAGTAAACAAAGCGGTCGAGATGGATGTAGACGAAGACAGACATTCTGTGTTGGTAACGATTCCTGAGATTGAGAATTTAAAGCCAGAATAAAGAGAATGTTTGGTGAATTTTATCAAGGGGGAAGACGTTATTGCCCTTCTTCCTATGGAATTTGGCGCATTACATACGTCACGACCAAATAGCAGCGATTGGATAAATAAAAAAAGTACCTGCCTACCGTTGACCGAACAAATCCTAATGCTGTGAGGTCAAACGGCAACCAGCTGATGAACCAGGCTAAACGTTTACATGATCGAGGAATAAATTATTGTGGCTTTAAAATCTGAATAAACCACACAAGTTTGATTCCGAATAACCATTTTCATTAGGATTTAAGTGTTTACATGGTCTTTTTAAAGCGGAATTTATTTTTCAGAATTAAAGCTCTCATGTAAACGTGGCAACTGAAACAAAACACAACTCCAGGTACGTTTTTAATGACAAACAACATTATAACACGGATCAGAAAATAGAGTAATAAGAGCCCTTTGGTGTAAAGACAAAACATGTAAGAGAATGTGTTGGTAGCAATTTATTTTGTAGCTATAACGTTTCCCAGCCGCAAACGCATTCTTAACTGTTGGTGCGGATGAAAAGTCTGTTGCCAAGGAGACGCTTTGACAGGAGATGCAGATAAATGAAACTACCTTTCACTAAGCTTCCCATTGACACAAATTGCAGAGAATCTATCCTGCAATTGAAAGCGCTGGGGTCTTTTAGGACTTACCCAATCGGACGTGAGGTGGGTGTGATTGGGCACGCAGGGACCAGACGCTTGGACTTTCACATAACTTCATCATTGTAGTACTACGATTGCAGCTGCTCTGTGTGATACTCAACTACAGGCAACAAGTATTGAAAACCTGATACTAATCGATATTAAAACCTGTATAGAAACTAGATACTCATTAAAGCAGGTATCGAAACTAAAAAAGTCGCATTCACAAAACATAAATGAACCTTTCTTGAATAGTTTAGAATGACTTGAGCTGTTTCAGAACAAGTATACAAGCACACAGACTAGTTTAAGACCATCGACCACTGTGGATTACACAGATATACTGCACAAAAGGGCCAAAATTTAAGATATAAACACGTAAATCTATCAGAAAATGACTAGTGAAAATATCTGTCCATGCAGTAAGATCATTTTACTTGACAAAAAATAAACTAAAATAAGGGCTTGTGGGTAAAAACTACCAAATATTTTATCGGAAGTGCCTTTCGTTTAGACGGTGACGGCGTTTTTGGGGCTTAAAAACTCAAAAATCTGAAACAACCATCCTGAATGGAAAAGTTGAATACGCTCCACTGTAGCGTTTCCATTTACACTGCCCAAGACGCAAAACTCTGGTCAGATCTGCTCACGTCGCGTACACGCTTACATCACATACATACAGTACACAGAAGTAAACATGTCGGATCATTTCCATGCATCGGGAAAAAAAAAAAAAAAAAGAAAAGAAAAGCACTCCAATTCATCATTAATAAATTAAAACAATCAAAATGAATAAATTCTAATTTCCATAAATACAAGATTTCAAATTCATCATTATCTTCTAAAAATTTCATTGTCATCAGTCTGACCATGGAAGTCACTGGATGGATGGACAAAGCCTGGACTTCAGTGACAACGAAACCATCCTGTCGGGATTCAGAAAGGCCGGAATAATTTTAACTGGAACTGATGCTGAGTCTGACGACAGCGACACAGAAGAGGAAGCGGATGAAGAATTGAATGGATTTAGTGATTTGGAGTGAGATGGAGAGTTTGGTAAACTTGTTCTGTTCTGTTGTTTATGTTATAGTTTATCTGAAGAACTGTTCATATGTGACGTTAACAGTCTGTTGTTCTCTGTTCTATTGTTATTACTATAATTTGACTTTTAAGATGAAATGTGGGTGCCTGGTCTCTGATTTGATAAAATACATTTCCCCCAAAAAGTGTGACTTATATTTGTTTTTTTCTTCTTCATGACACATTTTTTGGCTGGTGTGACTTATACTCCGAAGCAATTTATAATCCCAAAAATATGATACTTTTAAAATTTCAGAACATTCTGCCTAATGATACTCTGCAGCTGATGCCATCAACATTCCCTGGAGGGTGTGAAGCAAACTGAAACACCGCGTGGACACAGGCGTGTGCATCCAGTGAGACGACTCAGGAGGAAAAGGAAAGAAATCATCAAATCATCATCAAAAAAGGAAAAATCTGATAGTTTAACTCCCCTGGCAGTCTATATTAAGAGTGAAACTATATTATAAAATATAAAATAGCCAGAGAAAGCTCTGTTCTCCATTTTTTGGCTGGTGCGACTTATACTTCGGAGCGATTTAGGCTACGTTCAGACTGCAGGGCTTAATGCTCAATTCTGATTTTTTTGTGAAATCCGATGTTTTTACGAGGTCGTTCACATTTCCAATTAAATGTGACTTGTATGTGACTCCAGTGTGAACTATTAAACGGCCCGAAAGTGTCTCGCATGTGCACTGGAGACACGATGACATCAACCGCAGCGAGCGTGCTCTGTGTTTATGGAAGTTGTCCAAACATGGACGCGAGCATTGAGCAGCTGGAGATTTTAAAGTTCCTCTCGTATCGCAGCCAGAACATGAACAACTTACTTGTTTTAAGGAGGAGACTGAGAAGGAGAAGGACGAGGTTTTTGGCCGTGGTGTTTTGTGCGGCAGTGGCAGAAACGTCCGTTGAAAGGAACGTGTGGATGTGGAGACGAAGCCAAGAGTGGTGAGTGGTGATGTGCTTCGCTTCAGTGACACGGAGTTCATTAACAATTTCCGCCTACTTCAGCGCAGAATAGTGACGTTTGTGGCTTGTTGATAACGTGTAGGTGGATGAATGCGCTTTGGCCGTTCACACTGAAGTCGCATGTCAAAAGATCAGATATGTATCGGTTTCAGGAGCACATATCCAAGTGGCCTGGGTCACATTTGAAAAAATCTAATCTGTGTCATTCAGACTGTCATTAAAAGATCAGATACAGGTCACATAGGGGCCAAAAAATTGGATTTGGGTCACTTCAGGCTGCAGTCTGAACGTAGCCTTATAGTCTGAAAAATGCGGTAAATATTACGTGTTACTGTCTGTTTGTACTACAGAAAAACATGAATGATTTAGAAAACAGGCAAACATTATTTTAGTCATCAACTTCACACAGACACAGATGAGTCTTACCTGTGATCTTGTCCATCTCCGTGAGTGTCTCCTGGTATGAGCTGATGACTCCTCCATAGCGGTTCATCACTTCTTTCCTCAGGTTGTCCCAGTGAGGAGAGAGGTCCCCCAGCTCCTTCAGGTCCTGTACCCTGCATCACAACACACAAACACAATGGCCGCTCATAAATCACAGGTTTACCTCTGGACTCTGACGCACACGCGGTACATGTGGCGTCGTGTTGACAGGACATGGCCTATATGCTGCAGAATCAATACTCAACACTCTTTTGTGTGGCTCGGTGTGATTTATCATCTCACACTACAAGGTGAAAACACAGACTTGAGACTTGTGATTAAAGTTTGAACACCAAGGAACTTCTAAAATGGGGTTAAAGTGGACAGATTATGCTTTATTTGTATTTTGTCTCTTTATGTTTTAGAGATTAAAGGTCCCATAATACGCTATTTTCTGATTTATGTTATGTTATGTTATCATCAAAAACATACATGGAGTTCTGTTTTGTTTCATTCACACATGTTTAACACACAAACTCTGCATATTGAGGTTGAGCTCTTTCAAACAAAAATCCCTCTGTAAGGCAGGGGTGTTAAACTCATTTTGGTCCAGGGGTCGTATCCAACCTACTTTGATCCCAAAGGGGCCGGATCAGAAAACTCATGGCATATAAACCCCAAAAATAGCAATAAGTTCAAATATTTGTACAGAGAAACGCAAATCTTACAGAAATCTTTTTTAATTGATGAATTCTTTCTTTTACAAAATATTATAATATTATGAACAACCTGAAACTTTAAGAAAAATTTTATTTCAACACAATGTTTTAACATTAACTTGTACGTAAATAGGAATAAGTAAATTTTTCTTGGAAAATCCTGCACTTTTCTCATTTTTGACATTTTGTTGATGAGGGTGTCACAGTCAACAAGAGCATTTGGAAAGAGTCAAGTCTTTATTTGTGCTGCTCTGGTGGGAGGGACCATGCACAGAGGTGCTGGAGATGCTGATGTGCTCAGTGACACAGAAAATTACCAATATTTTAACAGAAAATATAATTAAAATATTTTAGTAGAAAATCAGCAGAGGGCCAGATTAAAGGTCTTAGAGGGCCGGATCTGGTCCCCGGGCCGTATGTTTGACACCTGCTGTAAGGCAAAAGGAGCTGTTAACTTGAAAAATACCGCTTCATGACATCCCAAGGTGGAACAGAGCATTTTGAGCTTTGGACATGTACAGACTAATAATGAGAGTTTCACAAATAGGGCCTTTAACCAAAGCCTACTTATAAAAATACACAGTTTTTTTTTGAATCAGCAGTTTTCCTTTTGATCGGATTGGGCATAACAGGGCCACCTACTGGCAGCAGTGAGAAATAAACTTTTGAATAAAAAAAAAAGCTACTTAGCAACGTGAGCAGCATGATGATAAAAGCGCAAAGGTGTAACCAACACAATTAGGCGTCAGAAATGCTTAAAACAAGTGTGTCAATGATTTACGGACTTAAAAACTGTGCATTTGTACCTGGTGAAAGATGAAACAGAGTGATGTGTGAATGCTCAAAGAAGAAAACCTTGTAAAAAAAAAAAAAAAAAAAAAAAAAAAAGAGAAGATAATGAAGCATGATAAATGGTAAAATGTCACATTTTTATATCAGGCTTTTCCACCTTCAAGGCATTCAGAGACACTGTACATCAAGGAACCACTCACGCATTCACACACACATTCACACACCAGTGTACACAGACGGCGGGGACGAGTGTTACGTGTCTTGCCTAAGGACACAACAACAGCATTTGTCTGTAGGAGCTGGAATTGCACCTCCAACCTGCTGACTGCTTTATCAATGATGTTTATGTCGGGAGTCGAACCAACCAGAGGCAAACACTCTGACAACTGAGACACGGTAAGACTAAAAACAAAATGATGAAATTACAAATAGACTCTTAGCATTATTAGTATATTCATTTCAGAGCTAAATGCACCTATGTGTTACTGAGACGTCAAACTACTACTAAAGTACTTTGCAGCACAGGCTCCTGAAAACACATTTTTAATCATTTTTTCTAATTTTTTTGTTGAGTTTTCAGACTTTTTAAAGGTGCATTGTGTAACATTTCTGGTGGAGAATCTGGCAAATGCTTTTCTAAATGGAAAGTTATTGCTTTGTCTGAAATGTTTCACCTTATGGCATTAATAAACCTTTTTATCTTCAAGGAGACCAAACCAGACCAAGTTACAGGTCAGATCTGTGGAGAGGCGATGCAGCTCACAGTCATAACGTCTGTTTTTCTAGGTATTTTTGAGCTATAAAACCATATGTAATTGATTAAATGTAAAGTAGAGCTGTTTAATGTCACACTTGTGAAACTTTTTTTTTAATTTTTTTTTATTCTCATTACTGTTTATTTTGGTACAATCATAAACGATAAACTTTTGTGCCTTCTTCATTACTATTATTAATTTGTACGACCATAAACGAAAACAAAAATCCTTAAATTTTTCATTCTCATTACTGTTTATTTTGTACGATCATAAATGAAAAACTTTGTGCCTACGATAACATTATTATTAGTATGTACGACCATAAACCAAAATATGTTTCTGCATGTATGTATAAGTGTGTTATGCATATGTGTATAAACATTTACATTGAGTATATGTACTGGATATCTATGATGCGTATATGTATGTATTAAGGCTGGGTATCATTCAGAAGTTGCCGATACGATACATACCTCGATACATAGACCATGATACATATCACGATACAGTGCACTTTCAATTTGATACGATATATTTCAAATCGATTCGATACGGTTCAGTAAAAATAAAGGCTAAATCGTGGCTGTGATACTTAAAGTTTTTAATAAATCACTTCTTGCGCAAAGTGAATAAGAAACACGCCCATTTTAATCCTTAAAACTGTGAAAATGTCAAATGTGTTACATAAATGTGTCTCCTTCCACTAAACAAACAACAAAACTGTAGTGCTGTAATAAAATAATTGAGTAAATATACAAAAAAAATACTCTTGGCGATATATAGATACAGCAGCCCATGATATCAATACTGTATCATCACATTAAAGGTTGTATAGAGGATTTTTTAAGGGAAGTGAAATACAGCAACAGTTCTTTTTCAAATGTTGTGCATGTGTGACACCACCTTCCTCAGTAGAAACATCTCCTCCCGCCTCTTTACTCTAGAAATCACGTTTGTTTACATCCAGTGCGTGTTCAGAATTACTGTTGAAGTGACCTGCCAAGAAATAATTCAGCGACCGACGTGTCAGTTTTTAGACCCTTCGGACTTTCTTTTGCGGCGAACTTGTCGTGGATTCTCGTCCGCCATCGCAACAAACTTTGTGCGAATTGCGAGGAAGCTACAGTTTGAAAAAGCCTCTAAGAACCGCTGCATAAACCACATAATCCCCGCGCGCCGGCGAGTCAGTTACACAAAAAATGTAGGGAGTTTGATTGACAACCTAACAGCCAATAAATAAAGAGGGAGCCTCATTTTCTATTGGCTGATGTTTATCTGGCCTCACTACGTCCACAGTTGATAGATTTTCATTCTGTTTTTTTTTTTTTCGGTCATCATAATTACAAAGCTGCTGCGTCTCTGTAATGGTATTTTAAACTTTCAATGAGAATTTGAAACTAAAAAAATAATCCTCCATACAACCTTTAAGCGATACGATATATCGATATTTCAGTATTTTTGCACATCCCTAGTATGTATATATGTATGTGTGTATGTATGTATGTATGTATGTATATATGTATGTATGTATGTATGTATGTATGTATGTATGTATGTATGTATGTATGTATGTATGTATGTATGTATGTATGTATGTATGTATGTATGTATGTATGTATGTATGTATGTATGTATGTATGTATGTATGTATGTATGTATGTATGTATGTATGTATGTATGTATGTATGTATGTATGTATGTATGTATGTATGTATGTATCTGTCATGTATGTATGTATATGTATGTATGCCACTCCAAAGGTGATATAAAAAAAAAAAAAAAAGTTAAATGTGAACCATGTGATTATGTAAAACAATTGGGGTAGGACTCTATAAGTTTTATTTAAACTTCATCCTACTCCTTTTGAGCACCAGGTCCCAAATATTTTCATGTCCATATCTCTATTTTTGTCATTTTTTTTTTTACCTGGCTCAAACAAACAAATAAATAAATGAATGAATGAAATGAATAAACATTTCAATGACATATCCATAGAAACAAGAAGGTGACGGACCCTCCACCAGAAAAATTGAAGTTTTGGGTGTTTTTTGTCACCTGCTGGACATTCCACCAATAGAGATCCATGTAGAAAACCTCCAGCGCAATGTCATCGCAAAGTATCAACACAAGAAAACTGCTTTGTAATCAAATCCCAAAGCAAAAAACCAAAAAAATAAATAAACCTAACCCACTTCTCCTTTCCCAACTGTTTCTGAACCTCTCTTTTGGCTCGTCTCTGCTCGTGGACACTTATTTTGGCCCACAAACTTGCAGCCGTTTATACTGGGTCGAAATTATCACCACTTTTCAGATTAAGGGGTTTAAATATCATCCCACAGCAGAGACACAGAGGCCTTCTGCAGCGGCCTGAGTACTGTCAGATAAAAATATTTAAAGTTCCTCTGGGCCAAGAACTGCTCCCCCTCGCCCATTTGGCTCGTCCATTCATTACTCCAATACAACTCTCACTCCTGCGTCTTTGCTTGTAGTGACCAGCCATATTCTTCGACTGGTGGCAGAGTCCCAAGCCTTAAAGGTCCGATATTACACAAAATATACTTGTGAGCTTTAAAAGTGCACTGTGTAACTTTTTTGGAGAGGGTCCACAACCTGTTAATGCTTTGGTTTAAATTGTCCAAATAAAAATAGTGTTAAACTGATCTGTCTTGCATTTGGGTCAGTCCGTATGAAATCAGCCGCCCTCCCCTATGAGCCACCTCAGATTTGGCTGAAAAAAATTCTAAAACATTCTAAAATGACCAAATGAACGAATCTCAAATTTTAGCTCAATCCCTTGATTGATTGATCCCTCATTCCTAAATTGTGGCCCGTTGAAATTTTGGGGCCATGCTCACCTTTTCTGAAGCC